AGAAATAAAAATTTTTCACTGCAGTTATGACCTCTTGATTTAAAAATGCACAGTAATTTAAAAAGCGGTTTTATGAATCCCATTCTTACAACAAATAGAGCCTCATACCTGTCACTTTTTCTGCAACTGCATTTTTTCTGTCAAAGCCCGGCCCTCATTACGACCGATGAGAGGAGAGCGAAAAACCTGACATTACAACGCGTCCGCACTAAGAATCAAATGTTTGCTTATCACCATAGATCCATTTAATTACATGACGATTGCATTAATTTGACCAATGTTATGTATCTGTACATTTCACAAGTTATCATTGAAGAATGCCTGTCGAGGAATTCTGTTAGCGTCATTCTTAATCTATTTTAATGACTTTTAACAATAGGTTTTATGATGTCGCTAAACAAGACCATTCTTTAGTGTATCTCCTGCCATAAACTACAAAAAATACAAAATAAAGTGGTCGTGATTTATGCTGAGACTAGATCACATTACTATTTATCGTATAAAACAAACATATTGTATTTACAATTGATAACAAAAATTATTCTGGCATTGCAATTCCTTGATCTTTTCCTAAATAACACTGGTAAACGCAAAGAAGCTAAAGTTTAAAGTAAATTCACTAACAGATAAATATCAAAATTTTAATTCCCAGCTGCTTTCACTCACAGCTTTATCAGAAAAAATGCGAAACTGTAATGATAACTAAAAGAAGAAAAAACAAAACTGATACCAAGTAACAGCAAGGGGCAACACGTTTTGGTCGCTAAAAACATCGCATAACCGATTTCAAATGAAGCCATGGTACCTTTAACGCGATAGACGGCAAGTAATAAACAAAACGTACTTTATTTGTCATTTGAAAAATGCTTATAAAATATTCAATATAGCAACCTTATATACCAAAGTCATAACGAATTTATAGCTTAAAGGTTTTAAAGTTGCCACCATTTCAACAAGGTTCAATCGTGTAGCTCTCAGAAAATAATTCTCAAGATTCGGCATAAGGAACACCACGTAACTGCCAGAAAATTACTGTATAAAACAGGGAACTGTGTAATTCAAAGAGCAACGACCGCTTGGTGAAGACGGACAAGATCACAGATCACCGACCAACATTAGGAACCGTTCAAAAGAAGCATTCCAGAAAATAACAAATCCTCTTGTTACCGCGTTAAGTCAATTATCACTGCTATGAACTCAAGTCGTCAACTGCGACAGAGGAATGACACGTCTCATGATGATCAGTGGATGGCGATATTATGGCTGAAAGAAATTCACTTTGACGGAGCACATCAAACAAAGATTCATCATTCAGTCCTACAATTAAAACAAATAAACCTGTGCGGTCATCGTAATCGCAACCGTCATAATTAACAATTTATTAAAACTGCAGCATGTATAACCAGCTCTTCTGGCGTCTCTGTGCAAAAAAAATAGTGAATGTTGTGGATAATGAATCCTAAACCAATCAACGACTAGTCATACAGTGAAAAAAGTACGAGACAGTCGAAATATCGATACGAGCCAACTGTCTGGCAGATTGAATTTTTCACATTATTTGTAAGTAGACCATTTTTTATTTGAATTAAAGTAGCAGCATTCATCAGATATTGTAAATTAAAATTTATTACAAAGTTTCTGCCGCAATTCTATTTATTATTACAGTTATTCAATTAATTCAACAATGTTAAAATTTTCGAGTCGGTAGAAACAGCACAATGCACCTGATGCAGTTCAGTATCTGTGCAACTCTGATTTGCAACTGCTAGTCAGTTAGATCGAACAGAATTTAACCACAATTAGACAGCTGTGCAGACTTACAAAGGTAAACATTTCTTACCGTATGGATGAGGTAAGACAAAAGGTTGATAAGCTATATACGGTGGTCCTGTTTGTATTGCAGCAGCAGGATACTGCATAAAATTAGCTGCTGCGTAATCGCTCGACGACACCTAAAGTTCGAGATGAGAGAAAAATTTAAACGGATATGTTCTCATGATTGCTTTTGATTAGGTCGATATATACCACTTCTATCACAACCTTTTACATAATCGTTTGCATACTGTAGTTTGTGATGAAATCATTTCTGAGCTGATAGCCCACCGATGCTCAAGCAAATAGGCTTGATTGATTAGTTGCAGCAAGGCCGCTAGAACAACCGCGGTTGTCCGTCAACAACATAGTCACCCATCAATATAATCGAAATTCCGGAACAGCATCCCTTGCATTAAGGAACAGGGAGGAGCTTCAAAGCAATACCAGCTCACATCGAACTATAGCGCAGGTCTGCATTATGTTAACACTTTTGGAGCCTCGCGATGACAGCAGAACATCAGTCATTAATAGTACTTTACCATAATGTGGACAATGAACTGTCATCGGGTTATCTTGCCAGTCGTCTGCATTCATTTCTGTTTGTAGCATTTGATATAACTCAATCGATTAAACCATTTTTCTGCTTTGTACGTATCGCTAAACCATTCCTCCGCTCTACGGTAAACAACCAGCGAAAATCGAGCAAATGAAAAAAGCCCGTTGCAAGAGCAGCCAAAAACCATGACCTGATCTAAGTGTCGAAATATTACAAAATAACCCAGCAAGGTCGATCGGGCTCATGATCGAAAATGAGATCCAAGATGTAAGAAGGAAATATTTAGATAGACAGTATCTCGTTTGGTCATTATGTTATACGCTAAAGTGGCGTGTTGGCACAGTTTTCCAACAGGTCTGCTTCGAACAGCGAAGGTAACCAGGATCGTTCTGCTCGAGGACAACCTCTGTCTAATTCACGAATTCCCTTGAGTAAGAAATTTACCATATATTGAGCCAGTCTGTGGTTGTTCAGCCGGTAGAACGTTGAACTGAAAATCGACAGGTTCCAAGTTTAAGTCCCGGTTAGGGCCAATCACACTGCTTCCT